GCCCCAGATCTTCATTGTTCATCAGGGAAATTGAAGAACAGCGAAGAAACTAAGGGGCATTGAAGGTTTTGTGTGGGGGTTATGTTACCGTCTATGGATTTGGCGCCATAAAGAAAAAAATATGAAATGAAAAGAGTAATAACAAGGGTTGAGGGACTTACCAATGAAAGGCAGAGGCTCCTTCTTCGAACGCGAGTTCAGGGATGGCGAGAGAGAAATCGCAAGAGCTCAGAGACACTTGAAACGGAGGAATATCAATAAGAATGAATCAAAGAGGGAGGGGGCATGTTTATTGAGGAAGAAAAACTGCCCAAATTCAAATTTCATGGGACAGCTGGGTTGGTTGCTCGAGGACCAATGGGAGATTGACACGTGACCCCATTAATGGCAGTGTTAGAGTTGAAGAGACAGGAAGGTCAGACGAAGCGTCGACCGAGCAAGACAAGGAACTGAGCGCAGAAATTAGCTCGGTTTGCCTCTTGCAAATTATCAACCGAGGAAGAGTTTATCCCGGTCGGAACAGGTAATCCCGGTCACGCTGGCGCGGACAGAATTAAGGGGCAATTAAGAGGGAAAAATATGGTCTGGATAGGGCCATGGTAATACCAGGCAAATTGTGGGCCGAACACATTTGGGCTGTGGTATCCCGAGTCCACCCAGAAGCGATTTTTGCTCGGCAATGGCAAGGGCATGTGGAACCGGGCTACTTCACCTTGTCAGCACGGAGGCCGGTCAAGTAAGGGTTCCACGGTTTATGCGTTGCGCAGTTGGAAAGCACGCATCCATAGCTTGGCGTGAAGGCTCATGTCTAAAGCTCGGTATGAAGGACTTTGGTTGACCGGTATGACCAATCTCAAGCTTGGCTTCGTCGGAATGCAGTTGAGCATGGCTGGAAAGGAGCTCGGTTGTTGGGCACGTGGGCATGAAACGCAGCATGGCCGTTGACAGCCGAGATGCTACAGCCCGGCTGCCGAGCTCCCAATGCAGTGGGCTGGCAGTCGGGTTAGGTGATGTTCAGCAAGATTTGTGCTGACAGATGGGATAGCAGAACCATGTGTCGAGAGATCACTGGGAGTAGATTTGGGCCGCAGAAGGTATATAAGCAAGTCTGCGCCCCCCATGCTGGAGACACGAACATTCGGTAAGAGAAATATTTACACTCAACCCAGTCCTCTCTCTCTCTCTATCCCTGTGTGTGTGTCTAACTTGATCGTTGGAGGGGTTTTCCGGCCACACACCGCCGGGTAGCTCACTGCTGTTGTGCACGCAGGTGATCGGATAAACTATATTGACAAAGTAGTTTACGATTCTAGTTTTTAGAGGGCAGTTCTAGTTGCGCTATGCAATTATGAATTCCTCATTTATTTGTCAACGTTCTTGTACACTCACAATGTTGAGTAGCAACAGCCAGAATCCTCATTTGGGATCGTTCTTGTACACTCACAATTTTGAATTACTTTTTTTTTTTTTACAAGAATTGTATTTGAGGGATAGAACAACAAAAAAACTTTGGTCTATGGAGTTGTGAATTTGTTTTGGTCTTTTTATTTTGTTTAAATATGGGACAATGGTGTTTCATCCAATCGCCGAAACATCCCCAACTATTCACACCCCCAAAACATCGCATTCAACTCTCTGTCTCCCACTCGCTGCTCCTCACCTTGCCGATCACCTCCGCCTCTATCGTTGTTATATTTGCCAATCGCCGCCATTGCCGCCATCGCCGCTAGTGGTGCCGATCGTCACCGCCACCGCCACCGCCGCCACCACTCGTTGCTCCTCAATTTGGTAAGTTTCTCTCTCTCTCTCTCTCTCTCTCTATGTTTTTTGCTATGCTATCTTTGCTTTTGGCACTCTCCCTTTGATTTGGGCTCTCTATCTCATCCTGTTTCTAGTAAGTTTTTTTTTTACTGACTTGATTCTATTATTGTGAAGTTGTGAGAGGTTGAAAATTTCTTATATTTGATAAGCATTTGTGAAATAAATATAAATGTACTGATTTAACTTAAAATATTTGTAAGCTTTTTGGTTAAAATATAAATGTAGGTTATTTGGTTAAAATTTTAATGTAGGGTGTTTGGTTAAAAGATTAAAATATATATATATATATATATTTGTAAAAAATATGAAATACAAAAAAAAAAGAAGAAAAAAGTATTGATTTAGCTTAAAATATGAATGTAGGGTGTTTGGTTATATTTGATGAGCATTTGTGAAAAAAATATAAATGTACTAAAGTTTAGGAATGTTGCTTTAGTAGTTACCTTGCTATTTTTTTAGATTTTTCTCTCAAAATATCAAATAAAAAAAATGTTATATATGGTGTTGCTTCAATAGTAACTTTGTTTTTGTTAGATTGTGGCTTCACAGCATTGGTTTTTAAATGATGGTTTGCAAATCCTTAGCCACTATATTTCATAGTTTTTGAAGCAGATTTAATGCCTTTGTCTTTGGCTCTTCATGATAGTGTTGAGTTCACTGGTTTTTGCTGGTCTTCTAAATAAACAAATTCTTTTGGTAGCCCTTCTTACAGCTAGGAAGGCACCTCTTTAGGCAAGTAAATTCTTCTCTACTTGGTGAATTAAAGCTTGAATTATGGTTACTATATTTATAACAATTCTTGTGTTTTTTAGATTCTTTGTTATCTTAATTAATTGATGTGTAGTGAAATTTGTAGGTACCAAAAGAGTATTGAGCTCCTGATCTTGAAGCTTCCATTCAAGAGGCTTGTCCATGAAATTGCTCAGGACTTCAAGGTAATTGAATGGTCGCAATAGATAAACATTGTCATATTTATCGTAATTGTTTAGGGTTTTTTTTTTTTTAATGTTTTTGATTAGTAGTGTATGTTAATTTTAATGTTAATGTTTTTTATTTTTGTGTGTGTTGGGTTGTGGATTTGAATAGGTTACATTCTTTGATTGCTGACTAAAATTTTGAATAGTTTGCTTTTGTTTCTGTTTTTTTGTTTTCAAATTATTACCTCTTCTACAATTTGTTGCTAATTTAGTTGTGTATATGTGTGTTTGTGTGTCTGGAAAACTTTTACTTATGATGGACATCACTCTTTAGCAAGTTTGGCCCCTCTCTCTCTATATGTATGTGTGTATTCTTTCTCAGTTTGATCATTGTTGTTGCCTCTATCAGGTAAAGCTTGAATGACTACAGTGACTGTAGTTAGATAAACGCCTATTTTTTTGAATTAAATTGTTGGTCATAGATTTCAAAGCATTGTTGACTATGACTGTTCTGTTTTGACTTTTTATTTGCCAATTTTGTTTTGGTCAAAGTAGTTTGTGGCCCTTTCAAGAGTTTCATATGACAAATTTGAGTGTGGACTTATTGACAGTGTCCAATAAAGCATCTTTCTAATTGTTCCTCTTTGGCACCTATCACTCTCGGCAGAAAATACCATATGTGATTTAAATAATTTATGGTTTTTAGATAACAAGTTTTGTCTTTGAGTTTTGCCATTTTAATCTGCTTTGAAATTTTGTATTCTTAAAAGGAGTAGTGTGCATTAGAGCTATCCTCCATATAATTTTTTCTCTAATTTATACGAATTATGGGCAACTTTCTCATGTCCATCATGGTTTAAAATTTTTCTTATTTCTAGCTACTTGATTTCTTTATGAAATTTCTGACAATGTTGGTTTACTTGAAATATGCATGAAAAACCATGGACAAAGTCATTCAATAGAAAAGAGGCCAGCTATATGCAATAAATCATAGCTCCTTGGGCAAGGATGTGAATGACATACGGACGCGGATATGTCTCCTCTTCAGTTCAGTTGAGTCATGTTGTTTAGTTTAGAGGATAAATTATTTATCATCAAAGAAATTTGTGAAATATAATGGATGGTTTTAAGGCTAAGTTGGTGTAGAAACTTGGTGCTAATGAGTTTCTACTAAAGCAATATAGTGGTTATAGATTGGAGCTTCAGAACATGGTGTTGCATTTGTTTCTTTTTAACTGTAGAAATAGAAATTTGGTTTGAATTTTAAGGTTTGTTAGATGGTGTTTAAAAGACAGATGGCAAAAATTTATAGATTGGAGCTTCTAAGGTATATTTGTTTTTCTACAAACTTTTTTTTGGGGGTTAATATGTTAATGCCTTTTGTTTGGAAAGAAAAAAAAAATAGTTGTATTGGTTGGTTGGTTCCTAATGTTGCAGGTCATATTGTCCATCTGAATATCACATATGAACTGCTTTTTTACATTTATGAATACTCTGTTAGAATAATGAGGAGTGGGTGAGAGAATTTCTTCTTCTTTTCCCAATCTATTCAATTTTATTAAATAGATTGGGAAAAGAAGAAGAAATGTCATTCCACTACCACCATTATTACCACTGTTACCACTCCACCTCTATGACTACCATTACTACCACCATCGCTACCACTCCACTACCACTACCACCACTGCTACCACCACTACTGCTGTTGCTATTACCTCTCCACCACCGGGTTTACCCTTGTTGTACAGTGATCCGGACATGTGTCCGTGGATGTTGGTTGTTGTTTATTATTGTGTTTGCATCCTTTGTACTTTGTATATTGAGTTATGGGATGTGTTGGGCAGGTTTGCTACAGGTTGGTTGCGTTTGGGAGCCTGTTTAATGATATTATTTTGAGGGCGTTACACCATCTCCTATATCACTACCACAACTTCACCACTAATCTCCTTCGCCATCACCACCATCACCTCTCATCCACCACCTTCACCACTGTTGTCGCTCCCTCTCCTCTACCACAAAAAATTAGCTCTTGATTTTTAGTAACAAAAAAAAATGGGTCACAAAAAAATATTTTTCATTGAACATAAAAAATTAACTTTATTTTAACGAAAAATATTTTTTATTAAAATATTACCCCTACTTCTACCAAATAAAAAAAAATCATTAAAATAAAAATAAAACAAATCTCCCCCCTTTTTTCACTGACTCACCCCACTGCCTGCCCAAACTTAATTTCCCCCATTTTTTCCTTCTTCCTTTTCCCCTTTTTTTTTCATTTCCTTTCAGGTTTGTAGAGCCCTTAATTTCACAACACTGTTTCAAAACAGTGAGCAAACCTTAATCTGAGAGGAGAAGATAGAGGGTTTGAAAAGAGACTGGGGTTGAAGGGGAAGGGTTTCAATCGGCGGCGAGACTAGTTCAGCAACGGTGAGACTAGTTCGGCGGCGAGACGGTACGCTTCTTTTGACACTTTTTTCGACTCTCTCATTCTAGTCGGTTCCTCTATCGACTAGGTTGAAATGGTTCCTCTATATCTCTATGTGACTGTGTATCCTTGGAACAACAATGATGTAGTTTTATAATCCGAACAGATCTTAAACCCTATGGCCAGTCGGTTCGTCTCCACTATGGCCAAAGACAAACCCATCTTCCCTGCGCTCTCATTCTTTTCCTTTTTTTTTTTATTTTTATTTTTTTGAACAGCCTTGCACTCTCATTCATGGCTCTCTAACTCAATGCAAATGATCTCAGATCCAAAACACTTAAATCCTCTTCTAATCAGTCAAATTGAAGAGCCGACTGGCCAGAGGATTTCAATTTATGAATAATCAAGCTTTGTGGGCTATATTTGGAAGATACTTTCAATTGATTTTCGCTTAGTACTGCAACTTGTTATTTTTCCCTAATCAGTTGAAAGTTATGAGTATAAATGGGGATGGCTATTGAATTGTGCTTCAACTCTGTGACTCTGCAGATGATAGATGATTATTTATCTAAGATGACTTGAATATATATAGGGTTTATTTATAATTTAAAAGTGAGTTTATAATTTAACAGGGTTTCCAAAGCTTATTTTCTATATAATTGTAGTCTATTGATGCTTTTGGTTAATTAGTGATGGAATTGCTTGGACTTATTCTGATCTATAAATTCTTATTGTTTGATCTGATCTGGGAATACAACTTATGCTAATTGATAGGAATACCAAATCATTCTGACTTACCAAGGCCAGATCATGCAAGTTTTCCCTTAATTAATGACTTGCCAAGGTCACCTTTTTTTTTCTTCTTCTTCTTTTTATTTTTATTTTGCATTCTTCCATTCATGTCCTTGTTTGTTGCTTAGCTCATTTCTATTTCTTAAAGTTGAATATATATTCACTTAGTAACTTTATATTACCTTGTTTCTTGTTTTTGTTGTTTAAAGTATAGATTCATCGAGTAACTTTATATTATCTTACTAAAAGTTTTTACTAAAAAATACAAGAGGCTAAATGTGATTGATTGTCAAAAAATCAGTGACATTTAAACATCTAATGATATTTGGACAAGTACGTTTTTAGTAAGATTGCTACCATAAGATTATATGTTGGCAGCCAAGTAGTTTATCATACAAACTCGTTGTGTTTTCAGTTGATTCTCAACAAGCTTCCTATTGACTAGAATGCTTAAAAGAAATATATTAATTTGAGGAATGGTGTCTGGAGAGAGTAGCAAAACAGGGAAGTTGTGCTGTTGAAACTTAATATTGTTGAGGATTTTTTTGTGATTATTGATACATATATACTAGCGGTTGGCACATGTGATGTGTACGCAATTTAAATAAGTATTAAAAACATATTTTCACATGTGCTATGTCACTCAAGTGGTTAGAGTCTTAGTTAATAGACTCAAGGTCATAAGTTGAAGTCCTACTCTTCTCATTCTAATTTTTTTTAATAGAAAAATATGACACTTGACATAGGCGCTGTTTGGGAAGTTTGGTTTTTGGTTTTTTTTGTTTTTTTTTTACTAAAAGACAAATTGGTTACAAAACCAAAAAAAAAACTAATCCAAAGAAAATATCACATCAAACCCTATAATCATTTCACTTTTTATCTCACAAACATCATATTCAACCACAAAAAAACCCAACTATCTTTCCAAACACAAAAAAAAAATTCTCCAATAATATCCTACAAGTAAAAAAACTTACAAAAAAAAACTCACTTCCCAAACACCCACATAAGAAGTAAAGGTTTCAAGACACTAATTGAAGCCTTTATATAATAGTAGAGAAGATATATATCTATATATATATTTGATTGAGGTGTTGTTGTGTATGATGATGAGAAATTGTGAAGCTAGGGTGTAATGATGTTGCTGCTGTACTTATGTTTTTGAGGTTGGTCAGTCAACTTATTTCCATCAAGAGTTGATTAGTGATTGAGAAGACACCAATGAAGCTTTGATAATCAAGTTTTTTGTTCTTGATTGCTCAGTTCCACTGGTATGTAGAGTTGTTTTTGGTTCACTACTTTTTGTAATTTAATCTATTTTGAAACAGAGTAAGTTTATAATGAAATGTACTAATATAGATTCTTGAACTAATTTGTACAATATTATCTGAAACAGGACTTGGTTTACTGTCAAAGAAGTAAAGTTACATTTCCCTTTTAGTAATACTAGCACAATTGTTTGTCTTGTAAGATTACAAGTACAAGATGATGATGAACATAGTAATAATCATTGGAATAGTAACTTCACTACTGGAATCATCAAAACAAATATCACAATTCAAAGTATGTATAAATGAATATTCTTTGTCAAAATTCTCCCTCTCTAAATCCCGTCATTCCTTGTGTAAGTTTTACCAAAAAGCATAAAAAATACACACCCTCTAATGGTAGTAGGTTGCTTTATGTTTTTATAATTTTTTGTCTCATCTCTGTTTTATTTGTATATAACAATTTCTCGACATATATTCATTGCAACTTTAATATATATTTTACGTCACAATTTCTTGACATGTCTCCTCTTCTCCCCTCCAACAATAATGGATTTATATAATGGGCACTAGCAAGCGTGCTTTGCACGCAGCTCTCTCACTAGTACTTATATAAGCATTTATATGTTTATGATGAGAAAGTGAAAATGATGTATTGCATGCTTTGTACAAAAGAAATAAAAATAAATGTACTCTTAGTTTGAATTGTAAAATTTAAATTCTTTTATGTGATGCAAACCAGTGAATGATTTTCTGATTTGCAACGTCCATTATATTAAAGGTTGGGCATGATTTGATACAAGTATATATGGTCATCTATTGGTGTTTTAGCCAATCATACCTTAATTTATTTGTCTTCTTGTAGTTCTTGACAGGAACCTTTGGATATACAGCTCCAGGTATGGCATGACTTTTCCTCAAATCAACAAGCAATTTTTTTTTATTTACCAACTTTTATGGCATAGTTTTCTCTAAATTGGCATGCAAAGCCTTTTCTACTATTCTTCTTCTTAATTTTCCATGAACAAACTGTCATTTCTTTTTCTTTTTCTTTTTCTTTTTCTATTTTTTTTTCCCATTATCCCTTTATTTTCTTTGGTCTGTTTTTATGTCAGAACTTGCTTACGCTATGGAAGTGAATGAGAAGTTGGATGTATATAGCTTTGGAGTTTTAATACTGGAAGTTTTAATGGGGAAGCATCCGGGCGATCTCATCTCATCTCTTTCCTCATCACCACCCACTGTTTATGGTGTATTGTTGAAAGATATATTGGATATGCGCCTCCCATCTCCTGGGAATCATGTGGAAGAAGAAGTGATCCTTGTTGTGAAGCTAGCATTGGCATGTTTACACACCAGTCCACAGTGCCGACCAACAATGCGACAAATTTCTGTGGCTCTATCAAAACAGAGACCACCTTTGCAGAATTCATTTCACTTGATTTCATTATGACAACTCTTTGATGTCAAATGTTCAACCTCCTGAGCATTCTCCTCTTCCCTTTATTGTTTTGTGCTTTTGTTTTTCTATTTTTACTTTGAAATTTTGATTTCCGTTCTCTTTGTTATCTATTTCTCTACAATTTTCTGTGTTCAAAGTTGGAAACACATTGAAATACTGTTGGTAAATAAAAACGTGTTCCTGGACCATTTGGTGACTCCTCTTTGTTTTCCTTTCCTGTAAATGTTTTGTATGCTTAAGTGAATCAAAGTGATCAATTGATTCAGTAAGTGACTCAACAATTCAATTGAACATATCACCTTATGAGCCATGTGATTTAGATTATTTTTGCAGTTTTTTTATAAGCTGTTAATAATCTATAAGTGGCATCTAAAAGCACACTCACCATTTCAGAATAATAGTTTTTTCTTTTCTTTTTTTTCTACTCATGTAACCTAGTTCTATTGCATGAGTAGAAATTATAACCTAACTAAATATTCCAAAGTAAAAACGAAAATAAGAAGGCATAACCAACTCATTTGAACTGCAACAAATCAATGAAGTAGCAGCTGTTATAATGTACATCTGCAATTGCATATATGTGTCATGATAATTCAAATTAACGCACACTTGAAAGCAGAGCATAACCAGGTTTCTCGTTTATTTCTTTTTCCTTTTGTTCTCTCTTCCTTCTTTGTTTTCTTTTCTATATTTGTTTCTTTCGCAAAGCATGCTCTCACAATAAGAGTCAATACTACTACAAAATCATAAATTGATCACATTTTTTAAATATGATGTATAAATTTAATAACAAATTTTTATTTTGTCAAAGCATAATTTTTAGGAGTGTGATTGCTAAGGATCATTTTTTATCACACTTTTTACCGTCATTAAAAGATAATTTCATCACGTGTTTTGATTGTGATAATAAACATTTAGATCACAAATTTTAATGTAATCAATAACTAATAAAACCTGAGATTGAATTTAAATAATCTATGATTAATAATGAGATAATATCACAATTATATGCATTTCTTATCACAATTAGTGCGTGTGATAAAAGAAAAAAGTTTGACCACAAAATACGACTATCAATCACAATATATCAACCATGATTAAAATCTAAATAGAACTAACATCTAAAATATAATCAATATTATTTGTACAAAAATTTCCTTTGAATCACAACATTGACCACATATGAATAGCTAATAACTTTATATGTTTCATAAATAAAAGTCTAATGTTGGAAAAATATATACAAAGAAAGTTAAGAAATAAAAGGTTTTTTTATTGTGATTACACAATAAAAATCTCATTAAAAAAATGAGAAAATTTAAGGAGAACTCAAAATTCTTGAATGTTCTATTTTCTTTGACTATATTTTGTATCTCTTTAAGCAATTTCTAACCTGAATAATGAGAACACAAATTAGTTCACAGGTTGCTAGAAGTATAAGAACAAACTTACTCATTCGTTCAAAATTAAAGAAAACAAAAATTGGAAGGAAAAAAAAATCTAAAAGTTCATAAGATTGATTAGAGTTTGAATAAATCAACTAGAGATGAAATTAAATGTAAGGGTAACATCATCACAGATACATTAACTGGATAGACAATGAAAAATAGAAAATTTTTGATAAGGGTCTATTGACTTGGGACCAGAAGAGATAAATAGAATGCTAATACAATTTAACAAATCAAAGCTATCAACTTGCAGATGAACCAAAAAACTAAAAAATAGAAGTATGCAATTGCTTGTATATTTGCAAGAGTATCATACACATATAAATACATAATAAACAATAAATGCCATATCATAATTCAAATGTATCCGTTTTTTTAATGTATGACTCTACTTTTCTAATCTAACAAATAAATCTACAATTCCTAGGCTTCAATTTACTTTGACTACGTTTCTAAGACATCATTAATTTGCTGAAGTATTCACATAGTCGCATGATCTAGGGTAGTTTGAACTGGGGCAAAGGTTGGGTACATAGACGTAGTGGGTGTTTGGGAAGTGGCTATTTTAGAGGGTTTTTGGCTTTTTGACTATTTTAGTAGGCTATTTTAGTTTTTGTGTTTGGGAAGATGGGATGGATTTTTATTTGAGTTGTTGAATTGAAAAATGTGTTGAAATAATGTTTGAGTTAAAATGACAAATTTGTCCCTAACCTCACATTTTTTTAAATTGATGTAAAGGGGGCAAAATTGTCATTTACCAATAATGGGACAACTTGTCAATGTGATAGTGGTAGGCTGTGCCTACACTGTCACCCCACGGTTTCAGCTATTTTTTTTTTTTTTAACTATAAAGTGTTGGTTTAGGGGCTTTTTGACCTTTTTTTAGTTTGAGGCTATTTTAGCCTCAAACTCAGCTTCCCAAACACCCCCGCAATATTTCATGGTTTTGCCCCCCAACAACATTTTTTTCGAGCTCAAGTGTTAGAAAATTACAAATTTCGACCTAGTATTCTCTTATTCCTTCTCTTTTATTATTATTATTAATATTTATTTCTATTGTTTTTTCCTTGAAGTGTGTTAAGGATCACTTTTAAAGTCATTCTGCATAACACTAGGAAAACAGATAACACATAAGACCCAGGGAATGTACAAACTTATAATCAAAAGTCAGAAGGTTGAAACAACCTTAAGCAATTATGTTAAACAAAATACATGCTTACAATTATGTCAAGAACTCACCTGGTATCATTATTGAAGAATTTGCAACGTACAAGTGATAGTAATGTAATAAGTATTTGAAACCACAAATACATTTGCTATGTTACTTAAGAAAATTTACATAACATCAGTTTATGCAACCCATTTATTTATGGCTAGAAAGTTAAACAATAAAGGGGGGGGGAAAGATAAGAGAAGGAAGTTATTCACCACCAGGATGTGAACAAAATATAAATCTACTTAGACTGACTAAAGCAATGAATCGAAGACACGATCATAGAATAAGGTCTAATGCAAAATGACAATGAATCTAGAGACATCATTGTTTTGTCCCTCATTGCTCTACTAATACACCAATAAAAAAGAAAATACCACAAGATCAAAATCCCCAATAATAACCAAAACTGAAAATTAGACTAGAACAAGACATTCTAATTTGTGACCTTGCAACTGTCAGGAAAAAAAAAAAAAAAAAACACAAAATGTTTATACAAAGCATCAAAGCAATAACCAATAAGCGTGTGTTTAATGAAGTTCAACCCCAGTTTGATGTGCTGTGAGAGTTGATCAAAGTGCAAACAGTGTGTTTCTTTCACTAAGACATTATAAACTCAAACTCTTGGTTATTGTAGGAAATATGAAGTTAAATACAAACACATGCAAGAAAATCAAAGCCATTACATTGTAGTTCAAAGAAGTAAATAAATAAACATTTAAAGTGCAAAACTACAAGGAAGAAGACCATGTTCGAATGAGCATTCAGTACAAACACATGAATTTCATAGATATTATAAATGGCATTAATAATAAAAAAAAAATGGGGAAAAGAAAAACTTAAAATTTATTTAAACTGTAGTATAAATCTCTAGAGGCTAGAGAACACTTGCATATTTTAAACCCATTTCAAAATTTAAAGCCCATTTAGACTATAGAAACTCATATAGTAAAAACAGTAACAACTTTAAAGTTTCTGGGTTTACATCCATAAGACTCGTGGAAACATGGTGTTTGTTAAGAATAGGAACATGTTTATATTTTTTTTAAAAAAATGAAAAAGAAAATAGAAGAAACAGGGGAAAAAGCTCACTACCTATACAAACAACCACAATAATTGTTTTTCCATTATACACTAAAAAAAGGGAAAAGAAAAAAAGAGAAGCATTAATTACATGTTACCTTCCTCTTTGATAGTTGGCAATTGCTATGGCAATGTCCATGAAATTGATGGCCAAAACTGAATAACAAAAAACAGAGAAATGGTTATAAATTAGTGATAGAGTTTGTGAATATAACAAATACTGAACCTAATAACAATAATAATAATAATGTTTTCTCAAAGATGAGCTAATAGTTTCTCAAATCCTCAAGCATCAAAACTTTTAACTAAAACCTAATAACAATAACAACTATAATAATAATCTGTAAAATCAAATTTACAAAAGGTAAAACAACAATCAGATTAAAAGCAAAGCCTGCACATATGAATATGTTATATATAAATCTCTAAATGTTCCTTCAAATCAGATAAAGAATGGGTCCTATTCTCATATGCAAACAGAGTTTCTCAACAAGTTGACATACCTAAATGACAATATGCTGCATTTTTTTGGAGGACAATCCACCTCAACTACCAAGTCAACACCAATAAGTATAGTTTTGGTTCAAACTTTGCATTAAATTTCATAGCAATTCAAGTTGTTTGACTTGAAGTTAAAACTACAGTCAAAATTCAAAGTTTTGACCTATGACAAGAACAGTACTTCATGCAGTCACTACCGCTCTAAATGCACACATATAACCTGCCATTTCAAGCCTATGAAGAAAAAAAAAATGAAGGCAAAAAAAGAATAAATTATGGCTATGTTTCAGCATATAGAAATCATCATCAAGCAAATAAACTTAGCCTATATCATTAGGATTAGGTAAATTTGCAACATCACTCTACAAAAATCCTTTCCAGATGTTGGCGAAAACATAACTATTTAACAACCCCCCCCAAAAAAAAACGAACGACTACACTCAATAAGATAAAGAAAATCACAGGGATAAATGCAAGAGTACATCAGAGATGTTTCTCAGAACAATGATAAACTAAGAGAATTCTTTAAAACAAAAATTTTGAAAAAAGTAATTGTCACTAAAAATAATTTGCTTACACAAGATTTAGAAGAAATGAAAGAACTAATATAATGCTTTCAACTCAATGAAACATAAAATCAATTTGTAAATATACCATAGAGGAATCAAATATTTTCATATTTCGATTTCGATTTCAATTTTCGAATACTACACAATACTACACAATTTAAGAATGGTCAAGGTTAAAAAAAAAAAAAAAAAAATAGATTCTAGCTGCAAAACCTTACTAAATCTTCAGTTCTTCCCCCAGTCAATGAGTTCAACGATCGTGAGGAAAAAGGAAAGGAGAAGGGTTGCAGAACCGGTGGTGAAGATAGAGAGAGAGAAGAAACGGAAAGAGGGAGGAAAGTGATGCGGGTGTGATTTATTATATAGATAGATTTAAAAACAAAATTAAAAATACGTATACAACCACCATTATATAGAAATTGCGAAGAAGAAGAAGAAGAAAGTATATAGTCACGGGAAAGTCTACAGTACATTTTGTCCAAAAAAAAGAGAAGAAGATGAAGATGAAGAAAGTATATAAAAGTTTGGCAAAGATATCCGTTGCCACATCAATTACAAATATACATCAGGAAAAGAAGAAGCAAACAAGGAGGTTAAGATATCCATACTCAACGCAAAGAATATCTACAATCTAATACAGGATATACAGCTTAGGCAATAAAGGTTAAAATGAAACTGTCATTTACAAATTTCTAAGTTCAATCAACAACAAAAAACAATAGCCAATTGTAACTTGCAAAACGTAATGGAAATACCTAAAAATAAAAAAACAATGATGAACAAAGTTAAAAATGAGCAATATACATTTGCTTTCATGTTCATAATGTCAAACCTATTGTCCATGTAAACATATTATTCACTCTATCAAATTTCAGTTGCTTTTAGATGGGCTTCAAGCCATGACCTTTCTTTTGTTCAATTGAAGGGGTTGGATTTTGTTGTAGCTGATGACAATAGGTATGGAATTAAGTTTCCGTTGAGTTTAGTGAGTAACAATCACTAGTTTGGATTAAAGAAACATAATGTGAACTGCTAAGAAATCAAGGTTAGTACCTAACACGTGATAACATGTGCCTACAAATTTGCAAATCTTCATTCTCTTATGGCACTTTTGATCTGCCAATTGGAACCATCAAATTGTAAGTTATATTGATTTTATTCATGCTAAAATGAAGATGTTTTTTTTTAAATTGAACATATTTTTTTTTTAGAAAAAACATTTAAATTGTTATTAAAATATTAAAAAATATTCACTGAAAAATAAAAATGATCTATAAAGGTTAAGTGTTTCTAAACTTGAGTGTACATGGTTAAATGGGGGGTGTAAAGAATTGTTTTTCGGGTATAAATAGAAGCACCCCACACATAATAAAAATAGAGAAGATAATAAAAACTCCAAAGAGATGAGAACAGTGAGGTCCGGTCTCAGAGTACCTGCACAATTTTGTTAGACTTGGCCTAGGCATTTAAAGTAGGCCCATCTCTACAAGAAACACTAAACGTGGTCATTGTATTGATTAGATTAAGTAATTAATAAAGGTTTATTTTGAACCAAAAGGGAAAATCCAATGAAATCATATTGTTGATTAAGAGTGGTACGAAATATTGCAGGCAAGGAAAACAAACTAATAAAAAATAAGTTGTTTTTCCTAATCAATAACAGTAAGTGATCAATGAAAGTATGTTATTATTCGTTTGGGCATATTATCAAACACGTGGTGAGCAAAAGACAAAATTGTAGCAAAACAACAAAACAAAGACAATATATAGGCTGAGCCAAATATTAAATAAAATTGGGGCAATAACAAGCATCAATCTAATATAGAAGAATAGAAATCAAGTAATGACATCTCCATAGAAGACAAAGAAATAGCAAAGTGAAAGCAATTAAAGGAATGTGAATATGACTGAGAACCGATGTTAATTTTGAATGAGAACAAATATCAGATATTCATTCTTTACGATTACAGTTTTGAAATCAAAGCCCCAATGGCACAACTATCTTGGGTGGCTATGGATATTAATTTTGACTGATAAAAAAAATTAATAACTGATATTCAATGGTTAGGGTTTTGAAATCAAAGCACCAATGGCCCATTTAGATGAAGCTTAGAGTTAGCAACAAACCTGAACTACGGAAAAGAGTTCTCGGAAAAATTGGATTTGACTGGAAGGGAAGGGAAAAGACGATGACTAGGTCTTTGGTCACAAACCCATGGTGGAGACGTCCAGAGAGTGAGAGCTTGTGAAGAGAAGAGGGAAGAGAAGAGGGGGGAGAAGAGCCAACAAGAGAGCCAAACACGACTGATTCAATTTTGTTTCCCCTTCTAACCGGCTACACCAGTTGCCTATTTGAGAGTTGGTTATGAGGTAATATGGTATAAATAAATAACTGAATATAACTAAGTTATGAGTCAATATGATAGTGGTTATGACTAATATGGTATTAGTTATGACATAAAATCATATAAGTTCAAAACTAAATGTATGGTACATCTAAATGTACCATAGCATCACCCGTATTATATTGTATATGGGCAGAATTTTTTTTTCCCAGTAGATTTGTGCAATTAGCTAATGATATTACTGTATATCTTTAAGGATGCACATCAGAAACAAGAACATCAGGCGAGGGCTAACGCTTGTTAAATTAGCAATCAGTAAACCTGTAATCGATTCAGGAGGATCATCATCCATCACAACAAGGTGTCTCTAAATTTAAAACCCATCATAAATGTTTACATAATTGACAAAGTTAAAGCGCATTGCATCCTCATTATGCTTCTAAAGCAAAACCCTATACCCTTAATTTTGCCAAATTTTCAAAAACCCACATAACTACTACCAAAATGTAGGCAAACAACAAGTCAGCATTCTCAAATAACATTCTTTATTTGGAATGCATTGATTTCTATCTCTTAAAACCCCAAAAAAAGGAATTAAGAAAGCAATCCCAATATGCAAATGAAAACAATGAAAGTTTCAAGAATCTCTGTGTTTGGTTGAGAGATTTAGAAAAGAAAATAAAAAAAGTAAGTAAAATATTAATAAATAATACTTATATTTCACCTAATCCACACCTTTTACCTTTCATTTTCCAAATCTCTCTCAAATCCCCAACCAAACACTTTAAACATGAACATGCAATAGGAAACAGTTTAAACATGAACTTGCAATAGGAAACAGAGAGAGAGAGAGAGAGAGAGCACATACCTCCTAACCGGGTTCTTTAATGAAACCACACACATTGCTGCTATGCATTCTGCTTGCTTAAACCCTAAGATTTATGGGTGTATATATACATATATTTACATTTAGAGAGAGAGAGAGAAGCAATGGAAAGGGACGAGCTCTGCTTTGCTCTGCTTACTACTAATGGGAAGCAGAGAGTACACACACGCCACCTCAGCCTCGGCGCAATACAGTACTCGCCCATATAGAATGACCCGTGTCCTCAATGGTATTTGTTGTGATCCCCTTTGCAAGCCTGCAACCATGATTTTTACAAAGGAAGTTGTTTGTGCAGTCATCCGATCAGTTTTGAGGACTCATTTCTATTTATGTACCTATGATTTTGTTATATTTTTAAAAATAGTTTCATAGTAATTATACATTTTAAAATAATTTGTTTACTTTTTTGTTAATAATTATAATAAAATTATATGACCCTGTTTAATTATTTAAATTATTAAAATAAAATTTGTCATGAATCTCGCAAAATCAAACTGTATCATGCAATACAGGCTTATTTTGAAAACACGGTCAAAAATCAACTTCTTTTGTTTTTTTTTTTTTTTTGTACATCACTTTTTTATTTTTTTATACGTGTTTTAAAAAAAATTAAAAAATCAATTTTTAACTTACTTCTCAAAATAGACTGCAGTTAATGGACTACATACAAGCTAAACTCATTTTAAAAGGTACAACGAAACGCATTTTGTAATCTTCAATGCAATTTTTGAAATTCCTTATAACATGTTTAGATTTTAGTGTAATTTAGTTTAAGTTTTTAGAAATAAAAATAATTTAAAAAATAATTTATATTTTATTTATATTTCTCTTTTACTTTCTTTTATGTTCATAGTATTTTTTTAAAATTCATAATTCAATGCACAAATATGCATTCACAAGGATTGATTTAACTACCAAAACTTATATTATATGATTTTTATATTATTTTTTTATAAAAACAAATTTTTTAAATATATTTCTAATATTAAAGAGAGAATCACTGTGAGAGGTGGGTGAATTCAATTCTGTTTTCCCTTTTATAAATTGGGTTTGTCATTGGTTTGTTAATCAAAGTGGGTTTGTCTGTGAATTGATGAAGTTGATGATGGGTCTATTATGTCTGTATATGTGTGTATGCATGTATATATATATATATATGTAGAGAGAGAGAGAGAGAGAGAGAGAGAAAGAGAGAGATTTTGGAAGGGAGAAGAGAATAGGTGGTGCCCTGTTTCTGTTGCGTGAAGAGGGGTGAAGGAACAGAGCAGAGAGAGAGTGGAGAAGAATAGGTGGGTAGTGGATCTTTTGATTGTAAGAATATGGTGGAATATTTAAGAATAAGTGTAATTTAGGGGTCAAAATTTGCCGACATAACCAATTTCAGTTACTATCTGTAACAGTTAGATGACGGAATATTTGGGAATAAGTGTAATTTAGGGGTCAAAATTTGCCGACATAACCAATTTCAGTTGCTATATTAAACGGATTTATGTTACTATACCTAGCGGTTCGATGACGAGAAAAGTTTGTGTATAAAGGGCTACTAAATACTATAAAAATATTAAGTGCTTTTTATTTTTTCTTCATAAAATTAAGTTTTGAACATTTTCAGAAAACACATTTAAAAACTCAACTAAATAAATGTGACTTTTCAAAAAAACTAAAAAAACAAAAACACAATCAAACAAGTTCAGAATTCTCAATTCTTCACCTTCCATAAATCTTCGAACACAATTTAAGTCAATTATCATGCACACACACTATAAAGCATGAATCCCTTTTATGGTGGAATGAGACACATACAGAGAACAAGAGCTGGATTTAACACTGAATGCATTCAAAATTAACAACATGGCTTGCTAAGACAGACATGCAAAGCCTCACATAAAGACATTGCAAACCCAACAAATCCATGAGTTTGGGTGCATGGATAGTTACACCTCAATCACATAAACACGAAATGGCTCAAGCACATATGTGATACAAATACTCATCAATATGTGATCAACTAAATCTCCAACAACTAAATTCAAATTTGATATAATGTAGGCCACACCCAAAATAAATTTTATCTACATAATTATTTTCACAGTATTTTTAAGAATACAATGGCCAAAGTTCAAAGGGAGAAAGATAAGAGAAAACTTTTCACATGAATCCTTTTAAAATTTTCAGAATTTTTGTACAGAATTTTCAATACATAATGGTGTGGTTTCTTGTGATCCGCTCGTTTCCAATGAAAACAACTACCATTGTCCTCAAAATTTCACAAATAACACAGCCATATCATTTTTGTCATGAATTAGTAAATAACTCCATCCGAAAATCATGGCAAGCCACTTATCTGGACGAACTCTTCAAATGGGCTACAATCTCACTGCACTTCTTCAAAAGGTATAACATCTCCTGAGAAATGTCAATGCTGTTAGTCGGGGCACTGGCATTCTGATAGCTCTTGCTGCTCGTTGCCTCGCCTTGGGGATATTCCATGTTGATGGCATTGACAATGTGACCAACACTGTGATTCTCATGCATAGCTGGGATTTGGGAAGGGAGAGAAAGCTGAGGCGGCAAAGTTGGGGGCATTACCTGACGAAAGTTCGCAACATTGTCCTTGATGGTTGTACGCGAAGATGATATAGGATTCAGATAATTGCCAATAATGGAGCCACTGATTTTGTTAATGCTAGGCAGCATTTTCTCTTCCCTAGAACTTGCATTCCCCTCCAACTTGAATCTGACATGTCGAGTCGCAATCTTAACACGGTTGATAGACACCATTTCATCACCTGGCGACTTCTTCAAAATTGACTTTAGGGGGACACTTGGGTTCAGAGGCAACTGCTGAATTGCTGCAGTCATTGGTTCAAGAGATCCTTCCATAAGGCACTTGCTTGACTCACCTGATTCAGGCAACTCTGGACCTGAAACATTTAAAACTTGCAAGCAGTAATTTGCCTTGATGTTGCCAAGGAAAGTTCTGTTGAGGACTGCGTGATTATACGCTGCCTCAGCACTAGACTTGTTCTTAAAAACAACCTTGGCAGTTGATGAATTCTGATACACGCGCGTGGCTGACTCGTAAAGACTTCCAAAGCGTACGAATTTCGCTTTTAGTTCTGGCACTGATGGCAGTTTTGAATGAAGTGGGAACTTCATCTTCAACATTGCTGGTTCAGAAGGCCCCTCAAGTATTTCTGGCTTTGTCGACACTGATGAACCCACCATTTTTGCATCTCCTTGAATTTTCAAATTCTTCTGGCTGCCTTCCTTCTTTTCTGCAGCCAATGAACTTAGCTTCCTGTATTTTTTTGGTCTCTTCATGGACTTCTCTTCCTGTTTACGAGAGGATTGACTTTTGCTGCCAGCCTTTGCTGGATCATCTGGTCTGAACGGCTTTTTCAATGGTTTTAGAGCAGAAGGTTGGTCCTTCACTTTCTCAATGTGGGGCGTCTCAACAAATAAACCAGTTGGACCTTCACGTTGCGCAAGTATTGGATGCTTATCCGTAGTAATAACTTCTTTTCCTTTTCTAACATTCCCATCTGTATCCTGATTTCTCAAAAAATTAGGCTTCATAGAAACTGGTGGAACTCTATTTTCTGAGATACAAATACCAGCCTTGCCAAACTTTGGCACTTTTGAAGTTTTCTGATCATTGCTCTGTCTGGAAAGAGATTTTTTTCTCTTTTGTTGGTCCTTGACTTTTACCCTATCTTCAAAGGCCTTGCGTTTGCCTAGGCTTTCACTGATCATTGGTTGACCACTCAATGGAGCTGTAAACAACAAAAAAAAAGCACTGTAAGTGAGAGAAGTAAAAGGCTACAATGTGAAGTGTTGTTCAATCAAAAACCAACAAAATTCTAGGCAAGTATATGCACAAGATTTGAAGATGAGCCATTACAGGGATTTGGAAGAGGAAAAAAACTCAAAATACAGAGAGTTGTTCATTTAACTTCAGAACATTTTAGTCCCTGCTATTTTGGTTGGGTACAAAAGTCCGATATGGCCATTTGCCCGTAATATGTTCAATTTAAATGCCACAGTGGTTATTCAAATTTTCTGGATTTCAATCACAGAGAATACAAAAAGACCAATAATCCTAAATAATGTTCAGGAAACTTACTGTGGAAACAACAGGATTACCTCGTAGCTAGTACATGTTAAAAAAAGCCATCTAGAATGGCACACGTTCACATTCTCATCATAAATGGCAGAATGAAAACTAATCAACTTGTTTGGTTTGGATGTTTAGGATTCACTTTTTAGAAAATTGAAATTTTTTAGTTTCCGTGTTTTTTTGTTTTTACTAAATTTTTTTAATATTCTAAGAATTTTTAAAATTTTTAGATACACCTAACATAAATACACTTAAAAATCATAATATTTGTAAAAAAAAATCTTTAAAAAATTCACTAAATACCAAAAATACAAAAAATATAAAAAAAAAAAAAGAAGAAGAAGAAGAAGAAGAAGAAGAGAGAATTCAATACATTTTTTGTATTCTTGTATATTTATTATTTTTTAAAATATTTTTTTACAAATATTTTACTTTTTAAATACATCTAAGTAAGGTGCATTTAAAAAAGTAAAAAAATTGTTTAAAATTTTTAAAATATTCACTAAAAACAAAAAAAATACAAAAAATAAAAAGCTCAATTTTCAAAAAATTGAATCCAGAAAATTGAAACCAAACACACTGAATATTATCCTTAGAAATTGATGGCTTTGTTTGTCTATTAGAAAAATGAAAAGCACAAGCAGAGTGAAGGCAGAAAGTCATTCCTTAAACCCTTTCCCAGAATATCTTAGGTTGCGTTTGGTAGAGTTTTAGAATTTTGATTTGAGAATAGAGTTGCATTTTGAGTTTGTAAGTTTTAGAATTATGATTTGAGCGTGAAAAATTTGTTTGGTTATGAGTTTTAAAAAGAGTTTGAATTGAGTGGTGTGACATATAATACTGAAAAGTGAGTATTTTGAAAAATGTTTTGAAAAATGGGTGTGGAATTAATTTTCTAAAGCTGTAACCAAACAACACACTCAAGCTAAGGAGTAGAATTAAACTTCAAAAGCTCTACCAAACAGAGCCTTATTCTTTCCCCCAGGGCCAAACACAGAAACATGACAAACATACAATAAACTCAAATACTCAAATTCAAATCAGTAAACTGGTGACAATGAATGCCACAATGTACCACATATAAGCCACATGAGGCACCATCTATGCAAACTATTACAAGCTGCTTATCATGAATCTGTTTGCATTAGAAGTTCAGAGATTGGGATGTCCCAGACACATCCTATGCAATAAGATGCTACAAACATAAGCAAAATTCAATGAATTAGCCCATGCTTCCATCTTTGAAAATGACATTATCCTAATTCTTTAAAACTATGCTATCTAACAAGTACAAAGTAAATATTCTCGCAGTAATTTGAAGCATAAGTCTAAGATCGCAGCTTGTAAAACAGCCACTAAATGTAGTTCAGATAACTGTCACTGTTTAGGGTATTTTAAGGTATGACAGAGAATGAAGACTGCATATAGAATAGATGTATTAACTCTTGCTAACCCCAGCTTGGGCAGGCCAAGAGTAAAATTATCAATCATTTGATCACAATAATAATGATCCTGAATTCTTATAAGTAAAAAAGCTACACACTGTTTCAACAACATAGCGCGATAATGTGGATGAAAATGTTCAATCCCTTAATTCGGCAAACCAAGCGTGAAATTTCAAGTTCAATAATGCAAATGCACCTTAGCATTGATTGAAAGATGAAATTCTGTTCACCACCATCTGATTACATAAATTGCATCTTGCAAAATATTCTTTATTCCAAAGCAATGTTTAAAAGAAAATAGAGAAAACATGCATTTCCAAATCAATACATACCTTGCAGTGGTGCTTTTTCTGGGTTAAGTAAACCCACCGCTGAAACTCCAGGGCGTACTGGTTGTACCCCGAATGCCTGAGCATAGGTCTCATCGAATTCCTCAAACACTGCCCTCCGATAAGCAAGAACTAAAGCTACATTATTTGTCCATTCAACATTTCTTTGCACATCATCCTGAGGCATCAATGTCAATTGTTTCACGAAAGAAAGCGTCTTGGATGGCTGGAAAGCATCTCTAGCCCTTTCGATCTGCTTCATTGAATACAGACCACCAGGTTGAAAGCCACTCACATCCACTTCAAAGAACCCCTCAACACTTTTAGGGCGAAATATGTTTGGCTTCCGGCAATGACAAGTCAAGCCAAGTGCAGCTCTCCGCTTCACCTCATCCACAGCCTCCCCAACAGCAGTTAAAAATTCCGGAGTGTTAGTCTGCTTTGATTTCTCTGTATAGTGAAAATCAAAAGGAATGAGTCTACCTGGTTCAAACCATCCATAGGTGTCATCACCATAAAATGCAACCAAAACTTGACCCTCTTTCTCCCTACGACAGATTGATGGAGAAGCTAAAGCTTCATCAAATATTTGCCCTGGCCACCACGGATGAGATTTGGCCTTCCCCCATACCATATCGCCAACCTCATATCCTGAATCTTTTAATGCATCAAACTTTTCGACTTCAGTGCCTTCATCCAATGTATTAGATTTGCTTCTATAATCTATACCTTCCTTTTTCTTTCCATCACAGACCCTAGATTTCTTACACTGCTCATTCATTGACTTGACATTTTTGGCAGCTGAATTACCATTGGAAGCCCTAGGCTTAAGTCTGCTGTACATGTCCATTGAACTGTGTTCTGAAGAATTCCTTGTTTCCTCAGACCCCATTTTCTCTACAAAATTCCTTAGATCTTTAGTGTATTGAATATCTCGATTTCTCTCGCCTGAAGAATTTGTAGTTTCTTCCTTTGTTCTGTCAGGTCAAATTTCTTTACTTCTCTCGCTTGCTCTCAAATCCCAAGACCTTTAATGTATTGAACACGAATTGAATCATGAATACGGAAGATTCAGCAAAACCCTAGAGCCTTAAAAGCAATTTTTCCTGTTTTCCGAGCAAACAATTAAATCAAAACAGCTGCTACCAAAATCAAAATCAAATAATACCTTACCATTTTGAAAAGTACTTTCTTGCTTTCAAATCAAACATTGAATTGGTTTTTCTTTAAAAGCCATAGAATTAATCCCAGTGTATATCTATAAGTTTGGAGATAAAATGTATCAAGGGCATAAACATGTATCAAAATCAGAAAACACATACCTTTTAAGCAGATCGTCTAAGCAGGGCTTAAGTCTGCTGTACATGTCCATTGAACTGTGTTCTGAAGAATTCCTTGTTTCCCCAGAACCCATTTTCTCTACAAAATTCCTTAGATCTTTAGTGTATTGAATATCTCGATTTCTATCGCCTGAAGAATTCCTAGTTTCTTCCTTTGTTCTAGCAGGCCAACTTTTTTGCTTCACTCGGTTGCTCTCAAATCCCTAGAGCTTTAATGTATTGAATACGAATTGAATCATGAATACGGAAGGTGCAGCAAACCCCTAGAGCCTTAAAAACAATTTTTCCTGTTTTCCGAGCAAACAATTAAATCAAAACCACTGCTACCAAAATCAAAATTAAATAATACCTTACCATTTTGAAAATTACTTTCTTGCTTTCAAATCGAACATTGAATTGATTTTTATCCTAATGTATACGCAAAACATTAATCAAGTTTTATAATTTTGGATATGAAATGTACCAAGGGCGTAAACATGTATCAAAACCAGAAAACACATACCTTTTAAGCAGATCGTCTAAGGAAACCATACACATTGACTGCTATACATAACATCTCATTTAAACCCTACGATATCTATCTATATCTAAGCATATAGCGAGGGAGAGCAAGAGGGAAAGGGGAAAAATTGGGAGTATGAGCTTTCAGTGTTGATGTGGACAGGGGTCCGATCGTGGTTACTAACAATACCAGCTCAACCGTAATCAGTACTCACAGGAAGACACGTGTCAACATGGAAATTTTGTGAGCTATAATTTGGTACATGCACTTGTGCCACAATATTGCATAATTTTATAGCTTAAAATTTAATAAATCTAATATTTTATACGGTACTATGATGTGTTTGCAGCACAATATAATTGCACAAGTCAATGTATACATAAATACCATATATAAGCAAAAATTTACTTTTTGAGCAATGTTAATATTTTGGAATGTCAAAGTAAGATCACTAAAATTGTGTCAACTGATTTTTTTTAAACATAACACAACCTATATCCTTAATTATACATCGTTAATTTTCTATTTAATGCATCATATATTGTGCTCTCTTATGTGTGCTGTTTTGTGATACGACACGACTAACTTTATGAGAGGAAGTGTGGAGGGTTATGTTTGTCGTGGAAAAACGGAAGGTGTTTGACTGACACATTGTACCTGCATACAACTACGCAATTATAAATGAATTAAAATATATATTTATTGCGGCACATAGCACGAAAGTTCAAAAAAAAAAAAAAAAACTATTAACACATGTTACACATGAGACATAATGTTTCTTTGTAAAATGCAGCAAGTATCAATTTGGCTGTATGGGTAAAACTCATTGATTATTCATAGCCAAAACTCTTGTCTAATAAATTACTCTCTTTTCCATATCGCAGAAGTTTTACATTTTCCTTCTTTCAATGCATCAAGCACTCAATTTTAGTGCTTTCATCTGACATAGAATCTAAAAAAATCAGGAAAATTTGTTTTTGACTTTCCCTCTCTCACTCCTCTATCTCCTTATCTCCCTTAAATTCACAGCCTCCAGTTCTCTCACCTGCATCAAATATACAATCCTAGTGATTTAGTGTGCTGTTCCCTGTTGCCAACCTTCGGTTTTTTCAATAATTCCCTGTTTTCCATACAATTTTATGAAACCTCATAGAATTAATTTCATCACAAACCCTAAATTTCTTAGACCAACCAAAGATTTAACATTTTTTGACATCTGAATTACATGTCTGCCAGCAAAAACCTACCAACCGAAGCCCCAACTTCAACTCTACTTCTATATGTCTGTTTAATTTAATAGAGTTCCGAATAATTCGCAGTTGCCTCAAACCCCAATCTCATTAACAATTCCTCAAACCCCCAAATTCACCACATATGAAGCCCTTCTAGCCATAATATAATATGCTTGATAGGCGTGTGTGTCTTCTAAAAATCCAAACATAGATGTCACATAGGCGACAAAGGTTGAGTTCAATGTATTGCATACTTGTTATCTCATGAATATATGATAAGATTAATATGTAAGCAAATACTAGAAGCTTTATTTAGTTATCATCTTTCAGAGTAGTTTTCTGCATTTAATGCAAATTGTAAAAACAAGACAATTGCTACCAAAATGACAACAAAACAAGATGTAGCATTTTTCTATGTGCATTCTTCCTTCGGAGTCAAATATTGAATTAATTTATAGTTCTGAAAAGCCATAGAAGTAATTTCATAATGTAAATAAAATATTAACTAAGTTCTAAGCATTCGGTGACTAAGATACAAGTGATACTTTCTGAGAGGTAACTATGCATTATAATTATAAATGTGTTACATGCATTCATACTATGTTAGTTGCAATACTAGTGGTAGAAAATACTGTTAGAATGTGTCTCACATCGCTTGGAGTTGCCCCATTTGTACTAATTATAAGGCTCTGGTTTCCCTCTCCTTAATACCTGGGTTTTAAGGAGAAGTGTGGGCTGGGCTTTTCAACTTGGTATCAGAGCTTGGTTGGGCCTATGACTAGTGGGCTATTTGTCCAGCTAGTGTGTGTTGTGGTCCAGGAGGGTGTGTTGGAATGTGTCCCACATCGCTTGGAGTTGCCCCATCTATGCTAGTTATAAGGCTCTAGTTTCCTACTCCTTAAATACCTGGGTTTTAAGGAGAAGTGTGGGTTGGGCTTTTCAACTACCAATGTAGTGAACATGGCACGTGCATCAAATGTGCAACATCACTAATTTTTGCATGGTCAAATTTTTATCTAATAATTCACCCTCTCATCATGTATCACAAAAAGTTTCTGGAAATCATCTCTATCCCTTTAGATTTGCTTCACTAAATACACACCACCAGCTTCAAGCCCACGCACATCCTCTTCAAAGAATCCTTGAACACTTGTAGGGCAAAATTTATTAAAGTTCCAGTAACAAGTCAAGCCAAATGCAGCTCTCCACTTCACCTCAACCTCAACCTCCCCAATAGCAGTTAAAAATGTCTGAGTGTTACTCTGCTTTGATTTCTTCGTATACTGAAGGTCAAAAGAATTGAGTCTAATTCGTTCAAACCATTCATAGGTGCTATCACCATAAAATGTAACCAACACGTGACCCTCTTCCTCTGTGTTACCAATCGATGGAATCATATCCACCTCATATCCATATCCCAAATCTATCAATTTTTCTTTTATCAATGCATCAAGCATTTCGAGTGTGGTGCCTTCATCCAATGTAGAATCCAAAATATCAAAATCCAATTTGCCACATGCCTCTTACTTCTCCATTTCCCTTTATTTCCCCTGAAGGAATCATTTCTTCCTATTCATAACGGCCATCAAATATGTCATCTTAGTGCTTCTAGGAGCAAATGTATTGGTGCCCACAATTGCCAATTCCTTAGATTTGATTCTAGAATCTATACCTTCCTTTTATTTACCAATTCCTCTGGAATTAATATCATCACAGATCCTAGATTTCTTACATAACAATTCATTAATTTGACATTTTTGATAGCCGAATTACCATGTACAATTTTACGGTGAAGAATTTCTTACCACATACTATTTTACATCAAACAATTTCCTAAATTTCTTACACTAAACAATTTCCTTCTTTCAATGCATCAAGCATAGCCCCCTCGTCCAATGTTGAATCCAAATTGAAGTCTCCCTCCCTCCCTCCCTCCAGTTCTCTCACCTGCATCAAATATACAATCCTAGTGATTTCTCTCTCTCTCTCTCTGCCTTCATCCAATCTTAAAGGTAACTATGCATTATAATTGTGAATGTGCTGAGTGCATTCATGCTATGTTAGTTGCAATACTAGTTGTAGCAAATAGCAATAAAGTGTGCATGGGACGCGTATCAAATGTCCAACATCACTAATCTTTGCATAATCAAATTCCTGTTGTATCTCAAAAAGTTTTTGGAACCATATCTATCCTTTTCGATCTGCTTCATTGAATACATACCGCCAAGTTCAAGCCCACTCACATCTAGTTCAACGAACATTAGTGGGGTGAAATTTGTTAAGGTTCCAACAGCAAGAAGTCAAGCCAAGTGCAGCCCTTCAATCACCACAAACAATGTAGAATCAAAACAATTGAAATCCAAATTGCCACATGCCTCTTACATCTCCATTTCCTTTGATCACCATTGAAGAAATCACAACTTCGTTTTCTGTCACGGCCATCAAATGTGCCATCTTTGCGCTTCAAGTAGCAAATCTATTAATGCCCACAATTGCCAACTCAGATTTGGTTATAGAATTCATACCTTCCTTTTCTTACCAATTCCTCTGGAATTAATATCCTCACAGATCCTAAATTTTTTACACCAACAATTCATTGATTTGAAATTTTTGATAGCCGAATTACCATATACAATTTTACACTGAACAATTATTTACCGTGTGCAATTTTACACTGAACAATTTCCTAAATTTCTTATACTAAACAATTTTCCTTCTTTCAATGCATCAAGCATTTCAAGCATGAAGCCTTTATCCAATGTAGAATCCAAAACATCAAAATCAAAATTGACATCTCAGCCTTTGCCTTCATCTAATGTGAAACGTAACTATGCATTATAATTATGAATATGTTATGTGCATTCATGCTATGTTAGTTGCAATACTAGTGGCAGAAAATACTAATATAGCGAACACGGCACATGCATCAATGTCCAACATCACTGATTTTTGCATAGTCAAATTTCTATCTAATAATTCACCCTCTCGTCGTGTATCAAAAAAAGTTTTTAGAAACCATCTCTAGCCCTTTCAATTTGCTTCACTAAATACACACCACCAGCTTCAAGCCCATGCACATCATCTTCAAAGAACCCTTGAAAACTTATAGGGCAAAATTTAGGTGGTGTTTGGGAACTTGGTTTTTTGGTTTTTTTTTTTTGTCTTTTCACTAAAAGACAAATTGGTTACAAAACCAAAAAAAACAAATCCAAACAAAATATCACATCAAACCCCATAATCATTTCACTTTTTCTCTCACAAACATCACATCTCACCACAAAAAAACTCAACTATCTTTCCAAACACAAAAAAAAATTTCTCCAAAAATATCCTACAACTAAAAAAACCTGCAAAAAAAACTCACTTCCCAAACACCCGCTTATTAAGGTTCTAGCAACAAGTCAAGCCAAATGTAACTCTCCACTTCACCTCAACCTCAGCCTCTCCAACAGCAGTTAAAAATGTCTTGAGTGTTAGTCTGCTTTGATTTCTTTGTATAGTGAAGATCAAAAAAATTGAGTCTAATTCGTTCAAACCATTCATAGGTGCTATTACCATAAAATGTAACCAACACGTGGCCCTCTTCCTTTGTGTTACAAACTAATGGAATCACATCCACGTCATATCCATATCCCAAATCTATCAATTTTTCTTTTATCAACGCATATCCAATGTAGAATCTAAAATATCAAAATCCAAATTGCCACGTGCCTCTTACTTCTCCATTTCCCTTTATCACCCTTGAAGGAATCATTTCTTCCTATTCCATCATGGCCATCAAATGTGTCATTTTAGTGCTTCTAAGAGCAAATATATTGGTGCCCCCAATTGCCAATTCCCTAGATTTGATTCTAGAATCTATACCTTCTTTTTTCTTACCAATTCCTTTGGAATTAATATCATCACAGATCCTAAATTTATTACACAACAATTCATTAATTAGACATTTGTGATAGCCGAATAACCATGTACAATTTTACATTGAACAATTTCTTACCACGTATTATTTTACATTGAGCAATTTCATACGCTGAACAATTTCCTAAAATTCTTACACTAAACAATTTCCTTCTTTCAATGCATCAAGCATGGCGCCTTTGTCCAATGTAGAATCCAAAAAATCAAAATCCAAAGTGACGTCTCCCTCTCTCTGCCTTCATTCAATCTTAAAAGTAACTATGTTAGTTGCAATACTAGTAGCAAATAGCAATAAAGCGTGCATGGTATGTGTATCAAATATGCAACATCACTAATTTTTGCATAGTCAAATTCTTGTTGTATCTCAAAAAGTTTTTAGAAACCATATCTATCCCTTTTGGTCAGCTTCACTAAATACACACTGCCAGGTTCAAGCCCACTCACATCCACTTCAACGAACGTTAGTAGGGCAATATTTGTTAAGGTTCCAGCAATAAAAAGTCAAGCCAAGTGCAGCTCTTCAATTACCTCAAACAATGTAGAATCAAAAACACAACTTGACACAACTTGAAAACAACTTAGGTTTGGAAAATAAGTTCAAAAACAGCTTGTATTTGGGAAATTTGTTTTAAAATGGCATGAGTTTAGTAAATAATTCCATTTGAAAATCATGGCAAGCCACTTATCTGGATGAACTCTTCAAATTGGCTACAATCTCACTGCACTTCTTCAGAAGGTATAACATTTGCTAAGAAATGTCGATGCTGTTGGTCAAGGCACTGTCATTCTGATAGCTCTTGCTGCTCGTTGCCTTGCCTTGGGGATATTCCATGTTGAAGGCATTGACAATGTGACCAACACTGCAATTCTAACGCATAGCCGGGATTTGGGAAGGGAGAGAAAGCTAAGGCGGCAAAGTTGAGAGCATTACCTCATAAAAGTTCACAACATTGTCGTTGATGGTTGTGCACGAAGGTGATACAGGATTCAGATAATTGCCAATAATGGAGCCACTGGTTTTGTTAATGCTAGGCAGCATTTTCTCTAACCTAGAACTTGCATTCCCCTCCAACTTGAATCCGACATGTCGAGTCGCAGTCTTAACACTGTTGATAGACACCATTTCATCACCTGGCAACAAAGGTTGAGTTCAATGTATTGCATTCTTTTTATCTCATGAATATATCATAAGATTAAAATATAAGCAAAAGCTAGAAGCTTTATTTAGTTATCATCTTTCAGAGTAGTTTTCTACATTTAATGCAAATTGTAAAAACAAGACAACTGCTACCAAAATGCCAACAAAACAAGATGTAGCATTTTTCAATGTGCATTCTTGCTTCAGAGTCAAATATTGAATTAATTTATATTCCTGAAAAGCCATAGAAATAATTTCATTATGTAAAGAAAATATTAACTAAGTTCTAACCATTCAATGACTGAGATACAAGTGATACTTTGTAAGAGGTAACTATGCATTATAATTGTGAATGTGTTAGGTGCATTCATACTATGTTAGTTGCAATACTAGTGGTAGAAAATACCAATATAGTGAACATGGTACGTGCATCAAATGTGCAACATCGCTAATTTTGCATAGTCAAATTTCTATCTAATAATTCACCTCCTCGTCATGTATCACAAGAAGTTCTTGAAAACCATCTCTAGTCCTTTCGATTTGCTTCACTAAATACACACCACCAGCTTCAAGTGCACACAAATTCTCTTCAAAGAACCCTTGAACACGTGTAGGGCAAAATTTATTAAGGTTCTAGCAACAATTCAAAGCAAATGTAGCTCTCCACTTCACCTCAGCCTCAGCCTCTGCTTCGATTTCTTTGTATAGTGAAGATCAAAAGAAATGAGTTTAATTGGTTCAAACCATTCATAGGTGCTATTACCATAAAATGTAACCAACATGAGACCCTCTCCCTTTGTGTTACAAACTGATGGAAGCATATCCACCTCATATCTATATCCCAAATCTATCCATTTTTCTTTTATCAATGCATCAAGCATTTCGAGTGCGGTGCCTTCATCCAATGTAGAATCTAAAATATCAAAATCCAAATTGCCACATGCCTCCATTTCCCTTTATCACCCTTGAAGAAATCATTTCTTCCTATTCCATCACGGCCATCAAATGTGCCATCTTAGTGCTTCTAGGAGAAAATACATCGGTGCCCCCTATTGCCAATTCCTTAGATTTGATTCTAGAATCTATACCTTCTTTTTTCTTACCAATTCATCCGGAATTAATATCATCACAGACCCTAAATTTGTTACACAACAATTCATTAATTTGACATTTTTGATAGCCGAATTACCATGTATAATTTTACGGTTAACAATTTCTTACCACGTAATATTTTACATTGAACAATTTCTTACGCTGAATAATTTCCTAAATTTCTTACACTAAACAATTTCCTTCTTTCAATGCATCAAGCATGGCGCCTTTGTCCAATGTAGAATTCAAAAAATCAAAATCCAAATTGACGTCTCCATCTCTCAGCCTTCATTCAATCTTAAAAGTAACTATGCATTATAATTGTGAATGTGTTGAGTGCATTCTTGCTATGTTAGTTGCAATATTAGTTGTAGCAAATAGCAATAAAGCGTGCATGGCACGTGTATCAAATGTGCAACATCACTAAATTTTTCATAGTCAAATTCTTGTTGTATCTCAAAAAGTTTTTTGAAACCATATCTATCCCTTTCGATCTACTTCACTGAATATACACTGCCAAGTTCAAGCCTACTCACATCCACTTCAACGAACGTTAGTCAAATTCCTATTCTATCTCAAAAAGTTTTTTGGAAACCATATCTATCCCTTTCGATCTACTTCATTGAATATACACTGTCAGGTTCAAGCCTCACATCCACTTCAACGAACGTTAGTAGGGCGAAATTTGTTAAGGTTCCAGCTACAAGAAGTCAAGCCAAGTGCAGCTCTTCAATCACTTCAAACAATGTAAAATGAAAATAATTGAAATCCAAATTGCCACACACCTCTTACATCTCCATTTCCCTTGATCACTATTGAAGAAATCACAACTTTGTTTTCCTTTGCGGCCATCAAATGTGCCATCTTAGTACTTCTAACAGCAAATCTATTGATGCCCACAATTGCCAACTCCTTAGATTTGATTGTAGAATTCAAATCTTCCTTTTCTTACCAATTCCTCCAGAATTAATATCCTCACAGATCCTAAATTTTTTACAACAACAATTCATTGATTTGAAATTTTTTATAGCCGAACTACCATATACAATTTTACATTGAACAATTACATACTCTGTACAATTTTACACCGAATGATTTCCTAAATTTCTTACTCTAAACAAATTTCCTTCTTTTAATGCATCAAGTATTTCAAGCATGGGGCCTTCATTCAATGTAGAATCCAAAACATCAAAATCCAAATTGACATCTCAGTCTTTGCTTTCATCCAATGTGAAACGTAACTACACATTATAATTATGAATGTGTTATGTGCATTCATGCTATGTTAGTTGCAATACTAGGTGTAGCAAATAGCAATAGAGGGTGCGTAGCACATGCATCAAATGTGCAACATCACTAATTTTTGCAAAGTCAAAATTCTTTGTAATACTCCACTTTCTAACCTTGAATCGCTAAAAGTTATTGGAAACCATCTCTAGCACTTTCAATCTGCTTCACTGAATATACAGCGCCAGGTTCGAGCCCACTCACATCCACTTCAAAGAACACTTGTAGGGCAAAATTTGTTAGTGTTCTGCCAACAAGAAGTCAAGGCAAGTGCAACTCGCTAATTCACATCATCCCCAACCTCCCCAACAACAGTAAAAAATGTCTGATTATTAGTTTGCTTCGATTTCTTTGTGAGGGAACAAATCTAACTGGTTCAAACCATAAAATGCAACAAACACATGAACCTCTTCCTTTGTATTATAGATTGATGGAGAAGCTAAAGCTTCATCAAATATTTTCCCTAGCCACCAAAAATGTTAATTGACCTTTCCCCAAATCATATCTCCCACCTCATGTCCATATCCCAAATTTTTCAGTTTTCCTTTTTTCAATGCATCAAGCATTTAAATTGCAGTGCCTTCATCCAATGTGGAATCTAAATCAAAATCTAATCTAAATTGTCATCTAGCTTCTCCATTTCCCTTCATCACCATTGAAGAAATCACAAATTCCATTTCCATTGCGGCCATCAAATGTGCCATCTTAGTTGCACATCTAATTGCCAACTCCATAGATTTGATTATAGAATCCTTACCTTCCTTTTCTTACCAATTCCTCTGGCATTCATATCATCACAAATCCTAAATTTCTTACACTAAACATTCATTGATATGATATTTTTGATAAACGAACTATCACATACTATTTTACACTAAACAAATTCTTATGTTGAACAAATTTCCTTATTTCAATGCATCAAGCATTTCAAGCGTGGTGCCTTCATCCTATTTAAAAACAAAATCAAAATTGATGTCTCCCTCTCTGCCTTCATCTAATGTTATGCATTATAATTGTAAATGTGTTGTGTGCATTCATGATGTGTAAGTTGCAATACTAGTTTTAGCAAATAGTAATAAAGCGTGGATGGCTAGTGCATCACATGTGTGACGTCACTAATTTTTGCATAGTCAAATTTCTATTTAATACTTCACTCTCTCATCTCGATTGGTTTTTGGAAACCATCTCTAGCCCTTCCGAGTTGTTTCACTGAATACACATTGCCAAGTTCAAGCCCACTCACATCCACTTCAAAGAACACTTGTAGAGCGAAATTTGTTAAGGTTCCACAACAAGAAGTCAAAACAAGTGCAACTCTCGTGTTCACCTCATCCTTAACCTCCCTAATAACAATTAAAAATGTCTATGTTAGCGTACTTCAATTTCTTTGTATAGTGAATATCAAAAGGAACGAGTTATACTAGTTCAAACCATTCACAAGTGCTATCGCCATAAAATGCAACCAACACAGGACCTTATTCCTTGGTATTACAGACTGATGAAGAAGCTAAAGTTTCATCAAATATTTTCCTTGGCCATTACAAATGTGACTCGATTTTTTCCCAAACCATATCTCCCACCTCATAACCATTCCCCAAATCTTTCTATTTTCTTTCTTTCAATGCATCAAGCATTTCAAGTGTGACGCCTTCATCCAATGTACAATCAAAAAAATAAAATCCAAATTGCCATGTGCCTTTTGCTTCTACATTTCTTTTGATCATCCTTGAAGAAATCACAATTTCCTTTTCCATTGCGGTCATCAAATGTGCCATTTCAGTGCTTTTAGCAACAAACCTATCGATGCCACCAATTGCAACTCCTTAGATTTGATTATAGAATCCAAAAAATCAAAATTTAAATTGACGTCTCCCTCTCTAACTCCTCTATAATACCTTTATCAGCCTAGAAAAAATTACAGCTTCTTGCTTTGTTTATGACCATCAAATGTGCCATCTTAATGGTTCTATAGTAAATGTGTTGCCTTAAATTGCCAACTCCTTAGGTTTGATTATAAAATCCGTACATTTCTTTTTCTTACCAAGTAAAAGCATCATATTCCCTAAATTCCTTACATTGAACACTCATTGATTTGACATTTTTGACAACCGAATTACAATGTCTACAAGCGTTAACCTTGCCATCAAAAGCGCTAAGCTTAACTCTATTGTACACGCCCATTTAACTACGTATATGTTGTAACAAATTGTTACTTTCCAGTTAAAATTGATGTATATTGATTGATTGATTACAAGATTATTGAATTACAATTCCTATACAATCTATATATAGAAGAAAATGTGGTAGTAGGTGTAGTGGAGGTGATAGTGGGTTAGGTGAAGTGGAGTGTGTGGTGAAGTGGAGGTAGGTGAAGTGGAGTGTGTAGTGGAGTAGGTGAAGGTAAAGATAGTGGAGTAGGTGAAGGTAAAGATGGGAAATTCTAACATTTCCTCATCCCATTTTGGCTATCAAACTCCCAAACCATTAATTTACCTCCTACGAATCCCTTCAAGCTACCATTAATTTACTAATTTGTAGGACACTTCATAAACATAACAGACACATGCACAACATGTTCTATTATTATTAAAAAATAAAATTAACATTAAAAATTAGACTTGGATATGCTTTGGATAGTTGGGAGACACACATATCCATTGCTTAGACATATATAAAATACATTACAAAGTTTGAACAAAGTTACTTAGGATCTAGCGATACAAAAAAACAATATTAATTTATACTTATGAATCCATCCTCCTTTAAACTTTAAAAAATGTGTTTTGTTAGAGCATGTTTGTGTTGTGTCACACGTCTTTGTCTATGGGAACCTGTTCTGTCAGTGGTGAGACATGGGTGCTTTGGTTGTGCTACTAACAATACCAGTTCAGCCATAACCGCTGCTCGCCTGCAGAGGAAGACGCATGTCAACATAGGAATATTGTGAACTGTAATTTGGTACATGCACTCGTGCCACAATATTAGATAATTTTAAAGCTTACAATCTGATAAATATAATAATATTTTATAGGATGCTTAGATGTATGTGTGGCACAACGTAATTGCACAAGTAATTATATATATGTATTTTTTTTTTTTATTCGTAACACAAGCCATTATATAAACCATATATAAGTAACAAAAATTTATTTCTGAGCAATGTTAATATTTTGGAATGTTCCGGCAAGATCACTAAAAATGAGAACCGATATTTTTCAAACTATAACACAAGCGATATCCTTAATTGTACACAGATTTGAATTTAATGCATAGCTTATTGTGGCCGCGTGCATTCAAGCTATGTTGGTTGTAGCAATAGATCATGCATTGCACGGCATCAAAGTGCAGCGTCATTGATTTTGGCATAGTCAAATTTCTAATTCTATCTAAAAATTCACCTTCACTCCTTGTATTACAACAAGTTTTCAATATTTCTTCTATTTCAATCAAAGCATCTTCATAGCTTCCTGTCACCAAACTCACTACCATTACATGTACAATCTTAGTGCTTTTAGCAACCCCCAGTTACTAAACTTTTTTAATCCCAATTATAGAATTTAAACGTTCCATTTTCTTAGCATTCTTACATTGACTTCTACAACATCTAACTTACCATGTCTGGCAGCACAAAACCTACCATCCCTGGCCCCCAATTTTAACTCTGTTTTTTACCTATCGATTGAATGAGTTCTCGACAATGTCTAGTTTTGTTAGACCGATGTCATTTTTTCTTTTAAAGAATCGAAGGAAACGAAAAGCAATGTTCAAAACAAGAACATCAGACGAGGGCTACCGCCTGTTAAATTAGCAATCAGTAAACCTGTAATCGATTCAGGAGGTTCATCATCCGTCACAACAAGGTGTCTCTAAATTTAAAACCCATCATAAATGTTTACATAATTGACAAAGTTAAAGCCCATTGCATCCTCATTATGCTTCAAAAGCAAAACCCTATACCCTTAATTTTGCCAAATTTTCAAAAACCCACATAACTACTACCAAAATGTAGGCAAACAACAAGTCAGCATTCTCAAATAACTCTTCTTGATTTGGAATCAAATATTGCATTGATTTCTATATCTTAAAACCCAAAAAAACCAATTAAGAAAGCAAACACAATATGCGAATGAAACAATGAAAGTTTCAAGAATCGCTTACCCTTTGTTCAGTTGAGGGATTTGAAAAGAGATTTGAAAAAAGAAAGAAGAAATTAGGTAAAATATAAATAAAATATACTTATATTTCACCTAATTTCACCCCTTTAACCTTTCACTTTTCAAATCTCTCAAATCACCCAACCAAACGCTTTAAACATGAACTTGCAATAGCACATACCTCCTAACCTGGTTCTTTAATGAACCCACACACATTGCCGCTATGCATTCTGCTTGCTTAAACCCTAAGATTTATGTGTGTATATATACATATATTTACATTTAGAGAAAGGGACGTGCTCTGCTTTGCTCTGCTTACAACTAATGGGAAGCAGAGAGTGCACACACGCCACCTCAGCCTCGGCGCAATACAGTGCTCGCCCGTAGAGAACGACATGCGTCCTCAGTAGTATTTTTTGTGATCCCCTCTGCAATCCTGTAACCATGATTTTTACAAAGGAACTTGTTTGTGCAGTCATCCATTCAGTTTTTAGGGACTTGTTTTTATTTATGTGCCCATGGTTTTATTTTATGGGAAAAGGTAGGAGGATAAAAATTTTGTCATGAAAATGATCTTGAAAAATTTATAGTTGTTAGATTATTTTGATTAGTATATGATATTTTATTTTTAAGTGTAATTTAAGAGTCATAAACCTTTCATGATTATTTCATAAAAAAAATTTCATGATACCTAGTATTGCTGTTATTTTATTAGCAAAAATAATTGGATAGTAATTATATTTTTTAAAATAATTTGTTTACATTTTGTTAATAAGTATAATAAAATTAAAATGAGCACGTTTATTGAATCAATTTAATGGATCATTTAATAACAAGAATTAACAAGATGGTTGGATTTTAGGGGTATGCCACATCGTTCGCCATTTCAGGGGTATGCCCAAACCCACTGATTTCAATTCAACCATAGACCCTAACATGGTTGGATTTTAATGTAATTTAGTTTTAGTTTTTGAAAATAAAACAAAATTAAAAATTAATTTATATTTCAATCATATTTCTCTTCTATTTTCTTTTATTTTATGTTCATAATTGTTTTTTTTTTTCAATTCATAATTGGACGCATAATATATTTGTTCACAATGATTGATCCACTACCAAAACTTATATTATATTTTAATTTACTTTTTTATACAAATAAAAGAAACTTCAATGATAATTACATAATAATAAAATAACTATAAGAGATTGATACACATGAAGAACATTGCAACCACACAAACACTACGGATCCCAGGGCAACCTTACTCCAAAATTTCAACAAATCACATATTATATGAGAACAATTAGCAAGATAATCATGAATTTATTGGGTTCACCCTTCCCAACCCACCCAATTTCTACCCCCACCTCCGTTTTTTTTTAAACTATATGATAAAATTTAAATAATAATTTTATGCTAAAAACTTATCAAATATTGCCAAAATGTATGTCAAATCAGTTAATATATATTAATTTTTGGTAAATAATCTAAATCGCCAACAAAATTCAAGCAAATATTGCCATTATACTGTTTTTCTTTATATCCTTATTAATTAAAGAGTTTTGCTAACAAATGCCACCGTGGTACAAGTAAAAGACAAAAGTAATAATAATGTAGAACCCAATATACTTTTCATTAGTTTATAACACTTTCATTCATTTTTAAACACTTTGTAACATATTAACCATTTCCAATACACTTTTTTGCATTAATTCCAACATTAGACAATAGAGGCACTTGTTAGCATATGTCTTTTTTTTATTTTTTTTAAGAAAAATTGGTCTAGGGTCCCTCTCCCACTTTTCGTAATGGAAGAGATTTACAAAATTATTTTTTGATATCTAAGGTCCCCAAACATATATCAGAGAAATTTGACTCTTTGTCTCTACTCTACTCTCTATCTCTTTCTTCTCATCTCACCCACTGTCTTCCAGATCCAAGGCAACAAGCTCTGCTCCTCTACCCTCCTCTATGACCTCTTCCTCAACACCTTCTCCTCCGACTCCTCCCTTCGCTCCGCCACCATCGCAGACCTCCGCGCCGCCCGGATCTGCGACCCGGCCTACCTTTCCTTCTCCAATGGCGGAGGATGAGACCATCACCTGCTAGATCTGATCGCGACAAATTGTCCCTGATCACATGTTGAAGCATACTATTCACAACCTCATAGAACTCTATTTTCTTATAAGTTTTATTTTTTGCAACTTCAATCAAACTAATTGAGGCTAATATATTTGAACTTCAAAAGGTCAGCTATTTACAAATATCCATATTTTGTTATATATATATATATATATATTAATCTACAACTGATCAATTTGAGTCTGTTTGGGTGTTGATCAATTCAAATTCATATATCTGAACTGAACTTGAAAAAGTTGGTTTTGTCTTTGCAGGTAGTTGAGGAGCTTTCAAATTTTATGAGCTTTTTCTCCGTTAATGTGTTGGGTCGTGCTTCTTGAAAAATGTCCATTCTCTACCAGGATTTACTCTTACAAGCTAGATGGATTAAGTTATATGCGCATGTGCCTTGTTATACTACAATGCTTCTCAAATTATGAAATTTACATCTTTGAGTTTCAAAATTATTGAAAAGCTGCAACTGATTGGTACTCTAAAAAAAAAACAAAATTAAAAAGGAACTTGATATTTGTAAATAGCTGCAACTGATTGGTACCCATTTCAGTGGGCGTCATGGTGTGTTATTTGTGTGCTACAGTGAGGTGGTTGAAGAATTTCTCTGGATTGAAGTGTCCAGAGAAATTTCAAAGACCAAAAGCAAAATTAAAAAGGAACTTGATAAATATGCAGAGAGTTGGTTAATTGTAGATTTGACTGAGTTGGGTTTTTGGATTGATGGATGAATGGATGATGCAAAGACATTCAATAATTCAAACCATTGTTTTAGGTTTTTGTTGTTGTTTTTTTTTTTTTTTGGTGATGCAGAAAATATATTCAAGAATTTCACTGAATTGAATTCAGTGAATCACACCATGGCCCAAGAGGGTATTCCGAAACTCAAAAGTTGCATTTATATATATATATATATATAGGTTGTTATTATTGTTTATTCACTCAATGGAGTGAACTGTTGATAACTTTTATCTTGCTTTTGAATCTAACCTGACAATAATCCCAGTCATAAACAAAATTGACCAACCAACTACTAATCCAGATCATGTTAAAGCTGAGCTAAAATCAGAGAATTTTTCTGGACCAACCCAGAGAAATTTCAGTTCAAACCAAAGAAATTTCAGTTCTAACTTGTGATGCAACTTTAATATTGATTAAGTTTACCTTCTTTTCTAACCATGCAGCCAGAGAAATTTTGAATTTCTCTGGAGAGAAGGGTGATATTGCTTCGTCGGCATGTTAGCTGCTCGGATCATCCACCAACTGGTCTGTTCATATGAAGAAGGAAAGAGAAAATAAGAAAATTTAGCAGCCCGCCAAGAATACATCCAACCATAATCAAGGTAATCTTCTTTGATGATTTTGGGTTATGTTTATTTGGTGGCAAACTAGCCACAATCTTTTTTGGGGGACTAGGCCCAACAAGGTTTCCATCATAGTTGCTTAATTTGAAGATCTCAGCTCCATTTAAAATGACGTTATAGTACTGAGATTTTGTTTTCGTGTTTGGGGTGTAGCTCTAGCCACAGGTATTGATTCTCCCCATTGTTTACTTTTGGAACCAAAACAATATAGTCTCAGTATACTGGAACTGCGTACCCGTTGCTTAAAGCAATAACATCAGCTTTAACTTCGGCTGTTTCATTGTTGATGAATATGTCAAACACCCTCTGGTTTACATTTTTCATCCACCAATTCACCTCGCAAAAATGCAGCCGAACAAGGTAGAAGAAACCAGAATCACTAGGGAAAAACCAGCTCAGATTGTAAAGCACATTGACGTTGGAATATAGCCCCGTGGCTCTAGCTGTCTTCTAGACCATCTCAGGTGCAGTGTATAGCAAGGAAGTGAGTTGAGGTAGGTGAATTCTTATGTTTAAAAAAAAAGGGCAGAGAAATTTACAGTGGAAAGTTTAGGGAAGTCCAGAGAAATTTTCAAAATTTCACTGGAAAGTCCAGTGACTTGAATTTTTTCTGGACCAATTTTCTCTGGATTGATGTTGAGGGACCTTAGACATCATGAAAATATTTGATGTCCTTTATACTATAAAATCATAATATCAGAGACCTTAAAAAAAATACCCCCTTTTTATTATTATTATTGTTCTTTCAAAATTTTAAAATATCGTTTTTTTCATTATACCTATTTATTTTTTCTTATTATATTATCCAACCTATCTGGAAAGATCTATCAGATATAATCCATATTTAATAGGAAATGTTATGATCTTCTTAAAATCTTACTATTTTCTAAAATCAGATAAAATTTTCAATTTTCACAAAAAATTATTAATTTATGTGCAAAAACTATGAAATGTCACAACACAATTTTGTGTGTTCAAAAACTATGAAATTTCATTTTTGTTTTTTTTTTTTGTGATTTCATATCAAATCAAAAAAAAGAAACTTATTTAATAGATCTTAACGAGTAATATATAAAAAATATAATAATTTTGTTTTTAAATAACATATTGTTGGTAAAAATCTAGTTTATGCCCAATCGATAGTGATTGACTGATAGGCTTCAAATGATTTTAAATAAATACCAAAATGATCTCACTTTGTGGTTGAGTTCTATACCTTAAACAAATTAAGGACTTCCGTAGAGGTAATTAAATGAAGAAAAAAATTGAACAGAACAGAATATGTATTAATTCGAATAAATTGTCACGTGTCACTAATTACAATAACTTAAACAATAACAAAAAATTGAAGAAATACAACACAATTGACAGAAAGAAAAGAAGTGAGGGGCTGGAAAAATCTACTAGTTTAATCTACTCCTAAAATACTTTTATTGATAAACTCTTTGCGAGTGTGATTGACGATTGAGATGTCCTTCTTTGTATCTCTCTTGACTTATTTATAAGCTCAACCATATGAGAGAAAGAGATAACTTAAGCCCACAATTTCCTTAACAAGTCAATGATTTCCTCAACATGATACATATCCCATATTTAATAGGAACCATTTTGCAGATTTGGTACTTGATTTGATATTGGCGATCTTAGTAGCTAACTTTCAAATTACTCAATTGCTAACTTTCTAACCCTCCATTTAACATGTTAGTTTGGTAGAGAGAGAGAGAAAAGAGAGAGACTGAATGAAAATGTTATATTCAGTGTATGTGTTGGTTACAAGAGTGTGGTAGTGGTGTATAGAGAAGAGCACCAAAAGGAGAAGACAAAAGCATAATGAAAGCTGTATGTAATAATGAAAGTGTGGTAGTGGCGTTTTTCCTTTACAGCATTTACAGCATACATAGCATATATCTAATTATATAACAGCTAGCTAATGTATATTATATATTGTATATTAACAGCCCCCCGCAAACTCAATGAGGGTA